AACGTGGTGAACATTATAAGATACTGCGCATAGCCGGAATGAATGGTTACTGTTTTTCGGAGCAGACAACTTTTTTTTTCTGTATTAGAAGAGCAACTTTGTTTGTTGTTTTATTCACGAAAAGTGAGAGAGCCATCAAAGGTCACTGACCTGTAATAAATGACTCAAGCCAAACAACACAAAAAGAGTAATAAAAAAGAACAAAATAAATAAGACAACTAAGGTTAGAACCAGAAATAGTAGAAAAAAGAACAAATTTTAGGAAAAAAAATAAAAAGAAGTAAGCAAAAAAAGAACAGATATAAATTCTTAACTGACAAGCGTTTCACTGGAAGAGATACTGACATAAAGCTATTTTGAAAGAGGCTAAAGAAGAGAGACAAATAACTGACTCTGGGAGATTATTCCAGTCAGTAATAGTTGAATAAAAAAAATAACACAAGTTATTTATTTTATTTCGAATCACTCGAGAGTCATCAAAGGTCCGTGGCCTGTAATATCGATGACTCAGACCAGAATAAAAAGAGATAGAGAAAAAAAAGAAAATAAATAAATAAATAAAACAAAAAATAATAACAGAAATAAACAAAAGAAAAGAAAAAGAGACTAGAACATGCAACGAGTATATAAAAGTAACAATAAAAGATAGACACAAATAAAATAACTCTAGAGCAACAACCAATACCAGTTAATTATGACTAGGAACACGGCTGATATTTTTCAGTAAGAGATATTGAACTAGTACCTTTTTGAAAGACGCCAATGAAGAAAAACAAATAACTGACTCAGGAAGTTTATTTCAGTCGGTAATAGTTGAATAGTAAAAAGAAGAGAAAACTGTTTGAGAAGAAAAACCATTGACACAGATTGGAATGCGAACATATTTAGAATGATGACAGCGTAAGGAAGAGTAATGAGGACGATGAATAGAGTAAAAGACAGAAAGAGGACTGAGACGATGATAAATTTTGAAAAACTGCACTAGTCGAAAATATTTACGGCGAAGAGAGAGGTTTGGAAGAGAAAATTGTGATACAAGTAAAGAGCTAGAAAAGCGATAGTCAAAGTTACGATAAATAACATGAGAAGCAAGATTATTTATAGAATCGAGTACTGAGAGCGAAAAGGAACCATCGTATAAGGCACAACAATAATCAAGTTTAGGAAGAATAGAGCGAGTCCAAAGACACGGTTCAGTGCGCCTGGCTTGCGTCGACAAGCAAGAGCAATGTCTCTGGCATGTTCACTCCACCTAAGATCGTGCGAAACAAGAACTCCGAGACAACGGACAGAAAACACAACGGAAAGAGGGATTTTATTAAGATATAGCTGATTGTAAACAAACGGGAAAGGATCGAAACTAAAAGGAAGCCAAGAACATTTAGACACATTGAGAGACATGAGATTAGAAATAGACCAATTTGAGACAGAATTTATACAGGTTTGGACATGAGAAAAATTAAAAGGATCCGAGGAACAAAGAGGTACAATTAAAAAGGCATCATCCGCAAAAAGATAGATTTCACAATTATATGGAAGAGAAAGAGGCAAGTCATTAATAAAAATAAGAAATAAAAGCGGCCTAAGCACACTGCCTCGAGGTACGCCAGAAGAAACAGGAGAAGGAGAGGAGATAGACTCAATCACACACTGTAAACGATTGAAGAGGTAAGATGACAAGAGAGAGAGAGTAAACAGTCATTCACACCACAACACGACAACTTTTTTAACAGAAAAGAGTGAGAGACAGAGTCAAACGCTTTAGAGAAATCAAAAGACACACCAACACACTTTACACCAGCATTTCAGAAGTTAGAAACAGTAGAAGACAGAAATAACAAGGCGTCAAGAGTAGAGTGTTTAGGAAAAAACCGAATTGTTTATTTGCAAAGAAGGGACTTACATTGCTATAATTTAGTTCTTTCAGACAGTTATGGCGACAGCTAGATCCAGTTTTGACCTTCCTCAATGCAAACGGAAAAGTTGTTAGAAGTCACAGAAAGAAAATGATGAGAAAAATTGACCATTGCGGCCACATAACTTTTATTTTACTTTTACAGTATAGTTTATAAAAGTTAAGAAAGTGTATAGAAAACGAACAAAAAAAAGCAAAAAATTCACAGTAATAAAACATAAAAATGAAAATTTAGACGTCTTCTACGGTCCTGGCGTCGGCTAGATCCAGTCTTAAACTTCCTCAGAGCAAAGGCGATAAAAAGAGTTTTTAAAGAACAACTTTTCTGTAATTTCTTCAACATAGTTCATAAAATAAGAAACACAGAACAGCAAAGATAAAGAAGAAAGTAAAGATTATCGTTATTGATATCGGCTAATGACTTTTCATGGTTAAATGTTTTTATCTGAAACAAAGAAAAACGGCCATTATGCAATTTATTTAGTTATCTGATATTCTAGTATTTCTTTAAAACTACCATAAATCAACCTGTTGGTCTGACGATCGGACAAAGAGACAGTTGTACATCTGTGTGATAAAAGGGATTAAGCCAATAAGATTAATCATTAAAGCGAAATTAGTTAAGATTAGAAAAAAGTGAAGCATAAATCCGAAAAAGCGACGAAGCCTGTAAAGTAGTTTTCTTCATTTACGAACCGAAAAATAGACTGCGAATTGACTTCTACAAAATGGAAGATGTTTTCGCAGGGACAACCAATCATTCGAAAAACTGATGCTACACGATAAAGCCATTCGAAGTCAATGGTAAAAGTGTGGCATCACGAAAAACCAATATTTTTAATGTGACTTTGCCACGGATTTTATCTAATGTTTTTCTACAATGCACATACTAAAAGTGACATTTAATCAACCCATAGGCGGCGGAGCCTGTAGGCTCGTTAGGCTCAGCCTTACCTGAATTGAAATTTGTTCGCTGTCGAATTTGACTCTGTTCGTAGTTTATGTCAACGTATAACACAAGTCGACAATCTTGAGATCATTTCTGACAGAATCTTGATTTCAGGTGAATCTTATCAGATTCTGATCCTATACAATCAATAATAAGATTCAGACTAGAATGACCTGATCTGAAAAAATTTTCAAGATTCATGGTCACTGATTCTTGGTAAGAAATCAAGATCAGTCTATTCTGGTCTGAATCAGGAGATTGTTTGAAAAACACTGATATCTCAGTAACGGCTTCTGGCTAGAGAACTCTGAATATACATTCTAAAAAGTCTTGATATCAGCTATAATATGTACTAAAAAAAGTTCCGCAAAAATGAGTCTCTTTGTTAATTTCAAGTGTATTGGTGAGTACCCAACTGGCTTTTGATTGTACGAGCCATGGTCGTATGACTACACACCATCAGATTCTGACTGAAAATCTGAAAAAAATGGCTTTCTCAGGAAGAAAGTACTGAAATCAAGATTCCGTCAGAAATGATCTCAAGATTGTCGACTTGTGAATATATAAAAGTTTTGAGGAGTAACCAATAACCTTATACTGAGCCTTACCTGATTTGAAAACGTCCCGCCGCCCCTGAATCAACCTGCAGAAGTACTTTTTCCCTTGGCTTTAGTCTACGGTCTTACAAAATGGTTGTCCCTCTGTGTGTCTGTGCATAAAATACGGAAAAATGGCTGTCAGATATTCCATAGATGAACTAATCACAAGAGAGAAACACAGAAAATCGCTTTTTTTACAAAAGAGAGAAAATATTCAAAGCGATGACTAAAATACTGAGGCAGAGGGGGGGGAAGTTAAGCACAGCTTTTCTGTCGTTGGGGAATAGATGTCACCGGAAATCAGTCAGTTTTAAAAACACACAAAAATTAATTGTGGATAATAAAAGTTACGAAATAAAGATAATCTATCATAGCCAATCGATTAGAAATACTCGCAACGCCCCTTCGGATCTTCAGAGGATGCTCACAAATCTTTTTAGCTTTATATTACGCTGTGGCCGTTTTTTCGTGGAATCAGAGTAGTTTATGATTACAATATTTCTCAGCTATCCTGGTGACGAACGCCGACCGAACAGAGGCGTGAGGATTTTTTCAATTCAGAAATATTTTTAGACCTTTGCAGGATCACGAGAAAACGTTTTAGATTTACGTTAGATTACGAATCTTACGTATCATCCAAACAAAAAATTCACAACATATTTCAGATAGCACCCTTCCATTATGTATGTAAGGCCACGTTCGCTTTATAAAAGTTAAATGAGCTAGAGGAAATGTCAAATTCTGATTGATGTATATCTTATTTAGATGTGAATACTCAAATTTAACTTTGAAAAGTTTGTACTATGAGCGTAACTTAATCAGATCATGGTTTCTTTATATTATTATTATTTTCTATTGATTCTTCTTACACCAATGACAGGCGCTTGTACACCATAGTGTTCTCTATACCTAGGTAATGGTTGATGATCACGTTCTCTTTTTATATTACATTCATTTTGTTTCTTTTCTCGTTCGTATGCAAGAACAAGGCAACAAGGAAAAAACACAAAATAATAATCATGTAGCGAAGCGAGTATAATATAATAGAGATGCTCTTTGCTTTTTTTTGACTGAAAAAATAAATTAACAGACAAAAAAAATATAGCTCAGTCGACGAACTACAGTCTCTACTCACAATTTGCCGCTTTCGTCATACTACGTTTAGTGTATGACTGATCTACACCTTTTCACCCTTTTTTTCATTCTTCTATTTACATTCTTCTTTTCTTTGATGTATGTCTGCTACCTATGTTCTTTATTACAATCAATCACGTGACACATGTAGTCTTCTTGTATGTGATTTTATCTTAACTATGTTTCCCCCTGCAATTTTGGTTATCTCTACAGATAAAAATTATATAATCGATTTTTTCTCTTATGTTCTATTTACTAATTTTACTAGTTGCTTCTTTTCTCTTTCTTTCGTTGTTAAAATAGAGCGTATAACAACACGTGATCATTGCTCAGGTAAACATTTTAACATTCACATCGTCTTTTAGATTTATATTTCCGAGTTATTCAAAAATTTAAAGACAAAATGTATAAAACTGCAATCATCCTTTTGGTTATTTGTTTATCATTGGCTGAATGTAAAAAAAGTGCAACGGATAAAGTTGTCGATGCAGCAACTGATATAAAAGATAAAGTCGTTGAAACGGTACGTAGTATAGATGACTTTTTTGATTGATAGTAATCTATTATGATGTTTTTAGGTATCGGATGGATTAAAAGTCGCTGCTGATAAAGCCAAAGATGTAGCAAGTGATGCCTACAAAGCTGGAAGTATGTTTGCTCAAATAACGATCACAAATAAAGTTCTTTTAGTAACTTGTCTAACGAGGAAATCTCGCCGGGTGTCTAACTTCGTTTGAGCTCGTATTTTAGTGATCGATAGAGCACAGGAGTGTAACAAAAAGCCTAAAATGATTTGCGCTGTTGTGGCTATTTTCCCGAGGTATGGTTAGTTTAGTGAAATACGAGTTTTTAGTAGTTTTTTTTGTAAGGCACTATTCTAATATGTTAAACAGGTGAAACCCATAGCAAAATTAGCCCGTATGCTGCAAAAGTTTCCTACCTTAGCCTTCTATCCTTTGTGAGAAATCGAATTTTCTTTTTCATTATCAAGTTTGCTTTGACACTCATAAATTGACAAAAGCATTTATAATCTCTATTCGACTGCTTTTAAGTGTTTCTACTATTGAATTATACGACAATTAGTTGTTTTTTCATCTGTAGTATGCAAGGCAGAGCAGATGCCCTATGAAAAACAAAAAATTCGATCTCTCAAGAAGGACAGAAGGCTAAACTCAGAAATTTTTTTGCACCATACGAGCTAATATTGCTGTGATTTTCAACTGTTTTAACCCATTGGAATAGTAGGTTACAGTAAAACTACCCAAAACTCGTATTTCAATAAATTAACCGTAACTTGGGAAGGAAGGCGCAACAGTCCAAATGCTTTTAGGCTTTTTGTTATACTCATGTATTCTATCGATCAGCAAAATATGAACTCAAACAGAGTTAGAGATTTCCTGGTAAGCTTACACAGTGATACATAAAAGTTTATTATATTGTAAAGGATACTATTTCCTAGATACATAAAACGAAATATTTTTATTTATAGGTAAAGTGGTCGATCAATATGCTGAAACTGGTAGTGAATATTTGAGCGATGCTACTGATTATGTAAAAGATAAAGTAAGTATTAATTTTATTCTATCATTCTCTATCCATTCATTTTTCGTCTATTCTAGGCAGCTGATGCAGCAAAAGTTGGAGGTAAACAAACTTTATTATTATTAATGTTTTACATTTTGTTTCTAATTTAAAACATTTCTAGCTAAAGTGGCCGGTGAATATGCTGATCAGGCAAAAGCTACGTTAAAAAATGTTGCAGATGATACTTTAAAATCAGGTATGCAGTATTATTACATTAAAATTTTTATTTTATATCTTAATTTCTCCTTTTAGCTCAACATTTTGGTAATGATGCATTGGCAGCTGGTAAAGAATATGGTCAAGAAGCACTCAAACAAGGTCAAAAATTAGGTAATTCTATTAAAGACATAATTAAATAACTAATTTTATGGACATATTTTTCTTTTTATCTAATTTAGGAGAACAAGCAGCGGCAGCTGGTGCAGACTATGCAAATGTGAGTTGTGATTTTCTTTTTTTGTGAAAAATGTTTCAATTTATCTCGTTTTATATTATTTTCTAGGATGCATTGAAAGAAGGAGAAAAATTGAGTAAAGAAGCATGGGAAACAACGAAAGAACAAGCAAATCAAGCATTGAAAGTAAGTAATAGTTCAAACATTAGAATCAACTATTTTGTATTTTTGTCATGTTTTTCTTTATAATTAAGAATGGTAAAAAGGCAGCTAGTGAATCACTTGAAGAAGCGAAGGAAAGTGCTCCTGGTGTAAGTATACGATCATTTTGATTTTGAAAACGTAATGACGGTCATTTTTAATGTTTTAGAAAATAAGATCAGCTAAAGAAACGGCAACAGAAACAGCTGAATCAATAAAGGAGAGTGGATCGGTAAGATATTGTCTTTGTGTCTATCACTAGTCTCATTGATATTTGGACATTTAGGAAACATTAAAATCAGGAAAAAAAGTAGGTGACAAACAATGGGAGACAACAAAAGAAAAAGCAAATCAAGCATTGAAAGTGAGTTGTATTCTAACTTTGATTAACCATTTTAAACTTTTATCATTATGTTTTTTCTTCTTAAATCAAGGATGGTAAAAAAGCTGGTACTGAAGTTATTGAAGAAACGAGAGAAACTGGTCACAAAAAAATAAAAACAGCCAAAGAAAGTGCAACAGAAACAACCGAGAAGGTTCGAGAGCATGGAAAAGATCTGTAAAAATAATTAAAACATATTCAACAGACTATAAACAAATCATAAATACTTATTTAGCGCTTAGTTTGACTCTCTCATTGTTGTTGTTTTTGTCTATTTTGTGATTTCATTTTTTATGTTCATTGTATTTACATAATCAAGCAACTCAGCTCGTACATGCACTGATTGATAATCATGTGTATGAATCTTTTTTTTTTTTTGCTTCATGTCAGTTGGTCTCTTGCACTGGTGATACGATTAAATATATGTTTTTTCTTCGTCATGTGTCATCGTTTATGTTTTTTAAAGTGGTTAATCAATAAGAAAACGAAAATTCATTTTCAATTTGATAATACTGTGCACAGAACAAATGTATCATAACTTCTAGTTCTACGTATTTTTTTCTTCTGTATTGTGGCTCTCAGTCGTTTTTTTTTGTCTGTTTTTCTATTAATAAATGCTTTTTAACGAAAATTCTGGCTTCGTACTGAACCTTTTTCTAAAAAAGAGGAATTAAGGAGGAATGCCACCAAAAAAAGGAGAATCTAAATTCTAAGTTAAAAACACTAATTGCACAAATAAAATTGAAGATGAAAGCAAACAGATTATGCAATATATTTTGGCTTTGTGAGAAGAAAATGGTTGTGTATCACTGTTAACGGAGTTTTTTATGTCGTCTTTTTTTCTTGAGTGATTTTTATTCTAATATTTTTGAAAAATTTTATTTAACAAAATTGAGAGGAAGAAAAAACAAAAATATCAAACATGTTCTAGAGAGAATGAATAGAATCGTCTGGATTTAAAATGTGCAAGATATTTATACACGATGAACAGAGAGAGAGAAAAAAGGAAAATACAAGTTAAAAGAATTATTGATGATAAGAAGACTAGAAAAGGGGAAAATACACATACAAAATAGAGAACTGCTGATGACTCCCCATGCAGTGATAGGAAATTTCTATTGACCATAAAAATACTTTTAGAAATTATTGAGTATAACACTGCTACGAAAATCATAATAGATTTTAAAACAAAAATCAATTTATGGTTTATTCAAACCTTCGATAAAAGACACTTATCATCATCAGGAAAAACAGAAAAGTGAAATACAATCTCTCTATATATAGTAAGAGTGCTAATTAATAGAGTATAGATAAAGAAGGAATAAGAAAAAGCTAATAATGTGATTACTAATTAATGTAATTGTGTTTAATACAGAGGTGCAGAATCTTACGTTTGCGCAACCGGCCGGTTGTGGAAAAATTTTGAAAAAATGTCTTTACTGTGGAAATTTAGAAAAAATGGCTTGTGGAAATTTTTGGGAAAAAATTTTTCGGTTGTGGAAATTTTTGGATTTTGTGTAAGGTTCTGCATCTGTGGTTTAATATAATGGTGTTTAACCTTCTGATTTGAAAGAACCAAAAACAGCTGTAAGTCCATAACGAAACGTAAGTCCGTAACGTTTTTGTTTTTGATGTATCTGCCAGTCAAAACACTTTCGAGACAAATCTTTTTTTGCTTTATATAGGCTTAATTCTCAGCTACATTTGCTATGAAAAGGTTTTTTGAAAGAATCTCATTATTCGCTAAACTTATTATCTGTTTTTGCTCTGCTCTACATTCACTTCTATTTTTTGTAAGTTCATAACGCTCAATATTATTTGTATAAAAACCGTGCCACTTGGCTGAAACACACAATATGTTGGTTGCAAATAGAACTCACCGAGCTCTATCAGCTGACGCAAGAACGATCCTCACAGCATCGTGTTGTGGATAACCATTCATTGTTAAGGTTTCTTTCATTGATGAAAACTCTATTATGATTTTCGTAGCAGTATTATATTCAATAATTTCTAAATTTATTTCTACTGTTCTACCTTCAAATTATAAAAATACTTATAGTGCAGTAAGGATCGAGATCATTTTGTAACTATCACTACAAGAACAGACGGTACTATGTTCGTAGCAAATATAAGAAACAAGGTATGATAACTAAAGTGTTAAGAAAGCTCTTTGATCAAGCGCTATTGGAACACTAGTCAGCTTTGTCCAAAAAGGAGGAAATAGAGGAGAAAATGGTCAAAAGAAGGTAAAAGGAGGAGAAAATTTTATTTAGGAGAAATGAGGAGGAAAGGAGGACGGGTGCGGTGCCAGCAAAAATTACATATGAAAGAAGATATATACTAAATAAAAATGTAAGTAGTGACTGGATAAAGTGAAGATTTATTTTTGAAACAGATTGTTTCTCATATTTAAAATTATTTTGTTTTGAGTTTCGCATGAAGAACTATATAGTTTTGGTGGCAATCTGGCTCTCACTCGACTTTCTTTTCCTCTTTTTGTCTATAAATTCTATATGTACTCGAACTGACTACATATGAATGTATGCTTGCATATATAGATCCAAAAGAACAAAGACATGTAACATACAGATAGCTAAAGATGATGTCATCTTTCATATAGAATAACAGTGATCACAACTAGACGAAAAAAAACAATAAATGAACGAAATTTCTGTTGTTTTCTCATTTTGCAGTGCGCATATTATGAATGATGTAAAATATATATGAACAATACTGAATTTCATTTTTTGCTGTTTTGATTCGCTATTAAACGCAGATCATAGATATGCCACCGTTACATGCTTCTACATTTGCGAGGATATTTATTTGTTACCATTTTTCGCCTGAAAAAATTGAACTCTTTTTTTTTAAAACTATAGATCCTCTTTTTTTACAAACTGTCGATGGAATACCAGGTGGCAATACCTAGCTTGAGTATATTTCGTTGTTGAATCGGCACGGCTGGTAAACTTTGCTACTGGAGTGAAATTCCGTGACGAAATTTTGACATTTTGGTGTGTTTATATTTTTTTAACAGTGCTGTGGAACATCTCGAATTGTAAAGCAAACATTTCTCTACAAAATGAGACGTCTCGAGGCTCTGTACGTTTCTTTGTTTAAATAATAAACGGTAAATATTAAATGCTACTTTACCAAAATAAAATTTGAGAACGGCGTTTTGTATTTTCCTTTTAGTTTTTAAACATAGAAACGTACAGTGCCTCGAGCAACGTTTGCTAGACGTTCATGCAGTATTGTGGAACGTACTTTCGTTAAAAAAATATACACACAGCAAAATGTCAAAATTTCGTCACGGAATTTCACTCTGGTACAACGTTTTCGAATTAGGCAGGGAAGTAGAGAACCTCCTCACCCTAAATTTTGGTACTGTCCACCAAACTTTTGGAGTTTGTGTTCGGCCTACTTTTAAATTCTGATTGTCCGTCAGAATAACTGGCAGACAGTCTTTTAAGTTCTTTATTGTTGGGTCAAACGAAGTTGAACGGGTTTTTAGCACACTTCTTCGAGTGAAAACATGGACACAAAATCGTATGGGAGACGTGATTCTTGAAACGTGTATCAAAGCTACGAGTTTACAACTTCCATTAATCCTAGAAGTTATAATTTTGTTATAAAAGATTTTATTTCTCATCCAGGTCGAGCCAAAGAACGAAATATATCGTTATGAATGACTTGGACGAATATTAAATATTTTTTTCGTTGAAAAAATTAATTCTAATACGAAGTAACAAAAGTTTTTTTCAATTAACGATTGTTACACTTATTTAGAAAAAAGCTGTCCGCCAAACAAATCTCTGCACCCTAATAAAAAAACAATCGGAAAGCCTACTCTGGTAGCAGAGTTATCTGATCGTGCCAGAATATAATATGAGTAAACGGATTTGTTGTCAAAGTTAAAAGTTTGAATATAAACAAAATTAGATGTAATACGCACATAATTCTCTGATGAATTAAGGCATTACGTTTTTCTTTTCACATATTACACTTATATACGAGATCAGTATGAGAATGATGTATTTTCTAGCAAACAAGGTAAAATATTCATTTTGTTTTTTCTTCTGTTATATGTGTAACATAGATAAAACAAAATGTATGTATATACGATAGAATGAAAATAGTGCAAAGCGCATGTTCGGTTCACGGTCATCTCCCATTAATGTTTTGAGAGAAACTTTTCACAGTGATTATACTTTTTGTAGTCGAGTTGAGTAAAACAGATTGCAGTTTGATCTAAAAAGAATTACGCTGATTTAGAGAGTATACATATAATGTCCCGTTTGAAAACTTCTCAATTTTTATATCTGACAAAAAAATTGACTGATCATTTTGTCCAGAAACACCTGAGGCCAAAGGACACAAGCACGGAATCACAAAGCCGCTTGTTTGAGAAAAGAGTACAAACGGTTAAATTACTCATACTAGCCAAAGCCTGAATGGAATAAACTATAAATTTGAAATAAGATGAATAGTAAATCTTTTTCACGTGCCTGTTTGAGATGATTACTTAAAATATTGTATTCTAATTCTGGAATATTAAAAAATGACTCAATATCAGTATCCTGTGGCGGGATAATCTAAATATAATCGTTAATTCAAAAATTGGTGTTCTTAGTCAATAAAAAAAAACCTTTCTCACCAGATTTGCATCTAAAACAACAATCCAAATATCATCAAATTTTTTTGTATGCCCTTTGTATGAAAAAAACTAGCTGGTACGTCAATTAGAAATGGAGTTGAATTCAGTAATAACTAAAGACATAAATGAATATTCTGATTTTTAGAGAAGAAAATAAAAATGTTTTATATGATTACTTGTTTATCACCGTTCAGCACCCGTCATACAGGTTGGTCATAGTGAAATGACCCGAAACATATATTCCGGTGGATAAAGTAAAGCGACAAATGCTAAAACACTCATTGTTAATGCATTATAATCACGAGATTAAAAGACCACCTTAAAAAAATAGCAGACAACAACATGAAGAATTTAGAGCTTTACAATTCAAATTATTACCTTTATTTTCTAGCATTATCAATGTTACAACACGAATACATAAATCAATGTCTAACAACTCGAATGATAAGTGTAAGGGAAAATCGACAAGTGACAAACGACTATGATCAGGTAGCGCAAATAACATCGGTGGTTCATTTAGTAAAACTTCAACCTTAAAATAAAAATAGAAAAATTTCCTTTATAAGAGGTCTTTTTCTTTTCAAACTATTTACTTACTAGTATTTTTGTTTTACCCGGTATAGAAACTGGTGCACTTAACAAACATAATATCCATGTTTAAATTTCTTGAATTTCTTGTGCAACTAAATTCGATCACATACTTGACCACTCAATACACTCAAACTGTTTTTCTAAAATGAAAACAAAAAGTCATTGTTGTTTAGTTGTAATTGTATTTAACTACCTTGATGTACATCTTGATGCTCCCGCTTTTTTTTTGCACATGACCGTTCATTACATGCATAGATAATATTTTTTAATTTAATTAAACATTCTCGAAATTGTGTAAAAACTGGATGATGACTAATTAGACATAACGATGTTAGCGTATTATTTCTCAAACGCTGTCGTTTTCTTTTACGTTCACCTATAGTCAAATTACTACTACTATTTGTATCTGTCATTAGACTATTTTCTTCATGTGTTTATGATTGAACCGATTGTTGAGTACCATCATCGGATGAATATTGTCCAACAGAATCGGTTTCCGGCGAACGAGTTGATAGCTGAGATTTAACGGATAAAGTTGATTGTTGACTATTTGCTGTTGTTGACTGACTTGTTCGTTTTGAAAAATGTCGATAAAATTGACGCAAATACCAAAACGTTGTCGATTTGAATCTTTTTCTGTTAGTGTAAATATGAATGATGTTGTATTATGAAGACTCGTTCGTTGATGTCCTGTATTGATACAACCCTCAGGTTGACAAAAAAAGATAACATTGGATGGTAATGAAAAATATGTATGATCATTCAATGGACAACGTCTTAATAATTCAGGCGTTTTTGTTATATGATTAAAACGGTTTGGATGTCGACAGCAAACAATAATAACATAGTCAATAAGACGAGGAGAAAAATATTTTTTTGTTTGTTCACACATTTTAATAAAAACGATGAGACTATTGCATCGAATTCAATTTCATCTAATAGTTGATCAACTGATTTTGGAAGAACTAATTCTGGACTTTGGTGTCGTCCGTTGACTTTGCTGCTGCTTTTATTTGGTTTTGGTAGTCTTTCAATTATTTCTTCAAGATTTTCTTTCGAATCCAATTTGGGCTTCTCTGATTGAGTATTTTGTTTCATATTATTAGTTAGATCGAAAAATAATTCAAGTTTATTGGAATCTATATTAAGTCTATAGCGTAGATTACGTAGTAAAGCCTTAAAGACATCATCATTCTCAGCCGTTGCTAGACGTTGGAAAATGCGAGTAAATTCTTCCAATTCTTTTGGATATGTATTCTCTAGTTCAATTTGAATTCTAGACTTGACCATTTTGTTTTTTTCCGAATAAAGAAAATCTGGAACATCTTTTGGATCTATTTTCAGCTTATCGGATGCTGTTTTAATACGTTCTACATTCAAAACATAGTTCGGATTTTCGGCTTGCTTGCTCAATTCTTCGTCCAGAATTTTACGGTACTCTTCTATGGGCTTCAAATATCGGGATAATTTATCTGTTTCATCAATTAGATTCTTGATCAATTCCTGAAAAGTGAATTATTAAACAAATCACCG